TCCATGGTAGGCAGCCACTAGGATGAATCCCAATGATCCTCACCTCCTGGTATTCACATCTTGGTGCATCCCCTTCCCTTGAAAGTGGTCTGGACTTACTGACTCACTTCTAATGAATAGAGTATGACAGAAGTGATAGGATATTATTTCTGAGATTAGGTAACAAAAGACTGTGGTCCAGAGGTACTTTCTCTCACACACTCTGTTCTCTTACTCTCTTTCTTAGTTGTTCATGTTGGGAGAAGCCAGCTGCCATATTGTGAGGCAGCCCTACGGCAAGGCCCACGTTGGGAGAGATGAAGGCCTTCTAACAACCATGTGAGTAAGTATGGAAGTACATCTCCCCTCATTCAAGCCTTTAGATGAAGCTGGCATCTGACAGCTTGACTGTAGCCTCATGAGAGACCTTGAGGCAGAAGCACCCACCTAAGCCATGCCTGCATTCCTGACCCACTGAAACTGTGAGGTAGTATCACTTTAAGCTGCTAAGTTTAGGGTATGTTGATATGTAGCAATAGACAATAAACCTCCCGTCTTTCCTCTATCTTTCCCCTGAGCTCCCAATGATATTTGGATGTATATCTCATTATCATATCTCCAGTAATGCTTGTAGCACAGTATATTGTTCATGCTTCTATGTCATTCTCCCCCACTTGAGTGTCTCCAAGGACAGGAACCCTGGCTCAGTCAGCTTTATATTATATTCTTAATACAGCCTCCCAGGACTGGCATGATCTGCTTCTATGATGTCTAAAATCATTTCCCCCTTGTTCCCCGTACTCCACCACCAGCCTTTCAGTTCCTCAGCTGAACAATGCTCCTTCCTCCCTCGGTGTCTTTGCACACACTGTTGCCTCTGCCTAGTATGCTTTCCCCCCATCCTCACTCAATTTCTACTCCTCCTTTAGATCTCAGCTGGATGTTACTTCCTAAGGGAAGGCTTTCCTGCCTTCTATTCTAAATCAAAGAACACTGTGCTTTTCCTTCATACTACTTACAATTAAGATTAAATGATAGTTTAATTAGGTGTTTAATGTTTGTCTCACTGTGGGGACTCTAAACTGTATGAGGGCAGAGACACCTTGTCTTGTTCACCACTGTATCCCAACACAGAGCACAGTGCCTGACATATAGAAAGTAGGGGTTCACTACATTTTTTTTCCTGAATCAATTACAAGGCAAACACTTCCTATTCCTTCTAAAAAACTTCACATCCTTTCATCATTTACACATTTAATGTTCTGAGTGTCATTTCTCTATGACAATGTTACTTGCCTTAGGTAGTAATCTTGCAGGGGTAGAGACCTCAGCTTTTAAATTGTGTGGTATAATACCCAGCAGAAGGGAAGGAAAGAGAACTCCTTTTTTTTTTTTTTTTTTTTAAAGATGACCGGTAAGGGGATCATAACCCTTGACTTGGTGTTGTCAGCAACATGCTCAGCCAGTGAGCTAACCGGCCATCCCTATGTG